TGCACATAAAATAACCGAATCTAATGCTTTGATAGAGAAATGTGGTAGACCATTAGATCCTAGACTTTTGTTAATCATAGTCATTACTAGAGATTCTGCTAACTCCGTGAATATTCTACAGTAATTAACTGTTCTGTAATCAAATTCACAAGGCATAAAATATAAATTTACATTTGTTATATTTATCAACATACCGATCCAAGTCTTCATTAGTAACTGACATCATGTAAGCCTGCTCTAATCTACTAACTGAATTTAAAATTTCAATTTGTATTTCATCTTGATTGTTATTATCTTCAAGATTCTGGAGGAATGCAATCACTGCATCTGCAGCTGCTTCTTGAACCATATTAGACCCCTGTAAAAACAAAAATATGTATTAAGTTATTATTAACATACATTTCTTAATTTAAACGTTAAATAAATCCTTACATCAAAACTACATAACACATTAAACGCATTTGATAACACATTGCTGTGCCAGACTTGTGATAATGATACACTTCTAATGTTTAACCATGATGCAAAACACTTGTATGATCGGATTTTGATGCGTTCATCATTTGCTTCAGATGTCAAGCACAGCTCTAATAATTGATTAACAGCTGGCAAGTTGTCACTAAATTCAGTATAAATTTCAGATCGACGATTAGCCCCCAAACGCAACGTTCGCGAATTGACTTCTTCTGGCAACACAGTCAACAACTCTAGTATGAAACATGTTTTTAACGAATTGTATCGCGAAGCAATGTCTACAGCAGCGTTCTTCCACGAACCCATTTGAAGAGCTAAGTGTGCCAAAGCTACACACAACTAAAACACAAACATGATTCAATTGAGTACACGAACAATGTTTATATAAGCAAATGAAAATAGATTATTATATATTTAAAGCTTAGGAGGTACCTGCGTAGCAATTACACCATCAGTAGTATCATCTAATTTTGACAAATGATTTAGTAATGCATCTCGCAACGATGCATGTGAATCTTGGGGTAATTCGTGGAAGGAGTTTTGTAATTTTGAGCGCATAGTCTGTGCCGCTAAATAACAAGAGTTAAGGTCCACCTTCCTGGCTAACAATTCGTCAGCAATCTTCCAAGCGTATACCTGGTGCAATGAAAAAAATACGATAAGTTTCAATTTTGGTTTTTAGTCTTACTGCAGTGTCCGGTTGACGGGTCGCGTACCGATTTCTGCATTTCGTTCAGCCAGTTCGAGGCTCGCTGCTTTTCAGCGGGGTTAGTGTTTTGGTTGTAGAGCGCATAAATAGCTTCGTATACGGTTTCTATCGAAGGCGAGTCTTCCATTTCAACGGGTAATAATATAATAGGCTTGAAAGAGATAAGTGTAGTTTTTTTTTTTAAATTATTATTTAACAATCACATAATAAAATAGAGTGCTAAGCTAAGTAAATCGACTACGAATTTAGTTGCCAGTTGGAACAAAATTGTAGTGAGTAGAAAATATAATTCGTAAGTCGTAACATTTGTTTGATGTTTATAATATCGAAAAATGATAAACCGAAACGTGTGATAGCGGCATTTGCATGGAAAAGACGTGATTGTAGGAGCCCCCCGGGACCTCAGTCGGTCGAATTCACCCGCCTAATTTTTCGAAAATATATATATAATTAAATAGAAACGACGGACACTGCGCGGGAAAAATGAAAAATTAAAAACCAATTTACGATTTTGACACCGTGCACTGCCACATTTTTCTATATAATATACGTGAACGATTGACGAAGTCCGGTGGACGGCCCGAGGATGACTGCGGCGATTACTGCTCCGAATTATTACTCACGCAACGAAAATCAGACGGATCCGACACCCAAATACCTACAATTTCTGACAGGTGCTCATTTTGAAGTTGTGCGTGCTAGCGTCTATCAATTCCACCGGCTACTGTTTAGAATATCTACACATCGATTCCGCCGGACACTGTTCATTCTCCAATTGTACATGCATTTTAAAATGTATAGTCTATTTATGATAATTTATGCAGTTTTATAGTTATGAATTATAATATTAGATACCTAGTATTTAATTAATATGTTTATGTGAACTTACTGTAGCAGACTTCTACCCGGGCGAAGCTTGGCTTATGTTGACACAAAATCGTGAAGGGTGGAAACTATTTTATGTTTGGTTGTGTGGTGTAAAAGGCCGTAAACAAAAAAAAAATTTGAACATACTGTAAAAGTGTAAAATGTAAAGTCTAAATTGTATGGAACGATAATAATTGTAAACTTAAAAATTAATATGTATAATCTAATTAATATGACATTGTGAATGTAAATGTTGTAAATATAATATTTTAAAATCACCAATTTGTACCATAATCTGGTTTTTAGAGAAATGTTTGCTGTAAAAACATTTATTTAATGAAATAGCAAAACAAATGTGTCCTAGGGCCTAGGGTGAAGGGGATGAACAGTGTCCGGCAGAATCGATGAGTAGATACTATAATAAACGGCGGTACTTAGCCAGCGGAATCAATATGTATTATGTAGATATTAATATAATATATTAATATTATAAACAGTATATTAGCCTGCGAAATCAATATAAACTTTTTTCCTAAGCCGATGGTTAAGTGGTTTCGGCAGAATCAATAAATCCCCGTGCGTGAATCCAGTTTGTTCATATTTCGGAGAGACTGATCAAAAACCTGTCAGGAAAACGGTCGATTTTGACCAGCCAAAGTCATGTTATATCAGCCGACAGGCACATAAATCTATATCTAATACTTAAATGCCTATACAGGCTATACATAACTAATAGTATGATCATAATTTTACTCGTTCAACAGTTTAGGATAGGTACTTAAGTACTTTCTAATATTTTTGTTTTATTATTTCCTATACTATACCTCCTATTGGATAAATTTCAAAACTCTTACAGGTAATTATTAATTATTATATGAATACCATGATAGGTTTTTAAGGAGTCAAATATAGGCAATTTTCTATAAATGTATGTTATAAAATCAATAGTAGTACCCGAATCGAGGTAAAAAAAGTCCGGTACATAATATGTATAAATAACAATATTTAACCAATATATTTTGCGAATATTTGGCCGACATTAGTATATTTAGAACCTACAGGCCTACAAGATTATTTATTTATTTTGTCATGTAAATGTAAATCATTTAGTTTCAATTTACATTAATACTAATTGGAAGATTGATTGTGCATTATACATCATATTTTTCCTTTTACTTAATTATATGTACCGGACTTTTTGGTAGTATACCATTAATACCATACATATTTTGTAGTATACTTAATTTTTTTGGTAGGAGGATGAACCTCCTAGGACATTGCATTGTTTGAAATTTGTTGAATGTTATGATCCTAGTCTTGACACATGGATACTAGTTAAAGAATTATCTTCATGTCGAATTGGTGCCTGAGTAGGAGTTTTAGATGGTCTACACCATTGTTTATCAACCTTTTTGGTGTCGCGACCCCCAAAATAGGTATAAAATATGGTCAATTACTTCGCGACCCTCCCCCTCATCTAGATTAGGTAAAAATTTGAACAGTAAAAATATCCTATCATTAACCAAACGAAATATAACATTTTAAAAATCAATTTATAAATACCATATCTATATGTATATCCTTATCGGGATAATTTTATTATTATTTTAATTTTTGTTTTTCAAAAAAAAGTCTTAAATATTTAAATAAAAAGGTACATTTTGTAAATCAGCGTTATTATTTTTGACCTACGCGACCCCAAGTCAAGGTGTTTGCGACCCCCCTGGTTGAGAAATGCTGGTCTATACTATGCTGACGATGGTGTCTGAATTAAAATATTGTAAAAATGTAGAAGCTTCTGTAGCAATGTCCTAGGAGGTAGTGTATGTCATGGGTGAATTTGACTGTATTTTATATTTGAATTCCATATTGGTACATTTATAATCCCACCACTAATGCATGGATGAATGTGATTCATATACTGTTGATTCAATTTTTTTTAGAATATTTATGTTACGAAAATGTAGTTATGTTAACTACTTGACATTTTGAGGTGTTGCTTGGATATGCGATCTATATATTAATATATTAAGTAAACTAGTTAACAACATAGTACCTATAATACACTTCATGTTATACCAAAATATAACTGTAGACTTGATTTTTTCACCATATATTTACATTATCAATATCTATACATGGTGCAATATTCAAACTATTTTGACTCTTTTAAAGATAATTAAAGCCATGAGAAATTTTCGAAACTTTGTAAACTATATTTCAGGATGGAAATTTATTAATGTTTTTCTTTCGTAGCTACTATTAGAGAATTTAATAGAAGCACAGATTCATTTAATCTGTGATAGAAGATTCCTCACAAATTTGTCTACCTTAAAAAAAAAAGTATGCATAGACCGCATATCATAGCATATTAATGACAAAATATCCATATTTGTTTTCGTAGAATATGTTCAAATTTTGTTTATTTAAAATACATGACCTTTACATCTCCTCTGGTAGCCATTTCACCAGCATAATTATTATCTTCCGAGAGTTGTATAATGATAGAATCTAAGTATGTAACCTTCTTATATTAATGTAAACTTTATTGCTTTCATAAAAACTGGTGAAGTCATCATCATAAAAAGCTTGATATTTGTTTAATAAATGCATGAAATAAATGTTAATTTGTCATGCAGAGGCGTTCTTAGGATTTCATTTCATTTCATTTATTTATTTTTTTTTTTTGGGGGGGGGGGGGGCTTAAACACTTAGCCAACATTAACTTGGATGCATCGTTGTAGAAAGTATGGTAAATGAACTGTTATCACGTGGGTAAAACAAAATTATAAAAATGCTTTATTAAGTATTATAAAGAGGTGAAGATTTCTTGTCCTAATGTAAATATATCAGCGGTCAGTAAAAAATAGAATTTTATAATTATATTTTAAATACAATACAAGTATAACATAACAAATAAGTAGGTAATAAGTAATAACTATTAATAATATAGAATTATATAAGTCTTATAAGTATAATTATTAATTTAATTATTTTATCACAAATGACACAACAGTGGTGTTTTTACGGAGGAGATATGTGTGTCCGATGTTTTCTCAGAGCAAAAATATAAAAAATGCTGGCATATTATTGGTACATGAAAAAAAAAATTATGATAACATAAGTTATGGTATTGCAATACCTTAAGTGTCCCCCAGTTTTTTGTATGGCATTAGACATAATACACACCAGGGTGTATCCAGAATCTTTGTACTGAGGGGACACTTAAATTAAAAACATATAGAAATAAAACATTATATTTTTTTTTGTGAACGGGAGGGGCATATGCCCCCAGTGTCTCCCAAGGATCCACATACAATTAAGTTAACTGTTATGTGGTAATAAGATAATGTTCATGTAAAAAAATTAATGTTCACTAAATGTTTTGTTATATAAATCACTATACAAGAAATTATAAATCATAAAGATATATCACAGTAGTTTAGGATCCAACCCTTCATTGACCATTTTTAATTCAACAGCGCCTCTAGGCACACCAAATTGAATCATTTTACGATATTTTAATATTGTTGGATCCACAATTGGCTCACTAGGACTTTCATCTACAACAACTGGTTCTGAAATAATATTGTCTTCAGTTTCACCATGTTTATCAGTTGTCTCAGATTTATTAAGTCCATCGGTTGCCTCAATTTTTTTATGTTCATTGGTTACTTCAATATTATTTGAATTATCTTTTAATTGATTGCTGGGAGGTTCACTTTTTTGAAATTGAGATGATTCCAGTTCTCGTAATTCAGGAACAGAATTTAACTAAAATACATATTATGTTATGTAATGTGTCATGTAATATTTAGTTAAGTTGTACCTTAGTTTCTAATATACACAAAGAAGCTGAAATTTTTTGTAACCGTTGTTCAGATTTCATCATCTTTGCTTCACAATGAGTCATGAAATTGTTTAAAAATGTTACAGTGGAAGTAATGAAATGATTAATATATGTAACTAATTGACGTTGTTTCATAGGAGGAACCTAAAACGAAAAAAGGTCAACACAAAATATAATTAAGCTGGCTGGTCAAAAATTTATAATGATACAGGTTATAGGTACTTACTTTTTTAAGTTCTTCCATTTTTGTTTGATTGAAGAAATAATAATAATGTCACAGTATGCTAAATATTCAACAGCAAAACATAAGAAATATGTGTTGTTAATTGCTACTTAACAAAATACAAAAAGAGAACCACATCAATTTGAAGTTCGGAATTCTCAAATCTTGAGCCTGTTCAATCCCCCAAATTTAGTTTTGTGATAAGAAATTTGTTTTGAATCAGTGATAAATGATAATAGTTTTCATTTTCACCACGAATTAAGATATATCTTAATTCGTGATTTTCACTCATAGGTTTGTGCTTACATCACGAAATATTAATTATCTACAACTATCTTAATTCGTATTTTACATTTATCATGTGTATTTTTTTTTAAAGAATTTATGAAAATATCAAATTATTTTATATTTCAACCATTAAAATTTAAGTAAAAAAAATAGATGATACACCAACTGTTTTTGATTTTCCATATTTTCATTTACAAATCTAATTTTTGTATCTCACTAAATTATTATTTGTTAATTGAATATTCATTACCTAAAGAATTCCTAGAAAATCCTTCAGGTAAAAATTTGGTGTACACAAATCATTTCTATTATCAAGTTAATAAAAATTTTTTCCAATACAATATTTTATTCCTGGTGTAGTATTGATTAGATATTAATCAATACTCCAGTATTTTTGTATCTATTACATTTTCAAGTAGTCTGCATTAATGCAATTAGCAATTAATGTTTTAAAATATAAAAAATTATATACTTTTTTAAAAATTAATATTACATTTATCTTCATCCGCTCAATAGAAGAGTACTTTTTCACTCACAACTTACCAAATAAGACAAGAGTATTCGAATTGTATGTAACAAATATTTGTCAGGAGCCATGGCACAGAAGAGGAATAAAAAAATTATGAAAACTTATTTTTTTGTTGTAATGTAGGGCAGACAACTATTGAATTTCAGATTCACATGCTTAATATTATATTGTCTCAACAAAACCTTGATGTATTCATAATATATATTATAAATAATTAAACAATTTTCACTAACATCTATTTAAGTAAATGATTACTAATACCCAAGTATGAAAAAAAAAGTTATCTTCTACTACTTATAAACTCCAGCAATCATTTAAGTATAGGCTTAAAATAAGTCCTTACATATGAATATCGTGTACAAAATAGTGGGAATGTGGTAGGAAATAAAACAGTATGGAATATTAAAAGAATTATTTGTCAAGAAATAAAAAAGCACATTTTGCAGTAGCACTTATATATTGGTCTTAAAAGTAACAAAAAAATGTTTGGACTTAAAACTGGATCATTTGTCCCTGAAAAATAAAAAAGATAAATTATAAAAATGAAATACATTAACATTTTTTTTTTTACCTTTCGTTTCTTGTCACCTCCCAATTCAAAATGCTTGCAACGTTTCAATGGGATTTGTTTACGGTATTTGCATTCGGAACACTCCATCCTTAATACAATTTTCTTGGTTGTTTTAGCCTAGTGAACAATTACTCATATTTAATTTCAACTTATTGGTTAAATATTTCATAATAATTTTTTATACCTTCTTTCTGAAAATAGGCTTAGTCTGACCACCGAAACCACTTTGTTTTCGGTCGTAACGACGACGACCCTGGGAAGCTTGACGTTCCTTAGACTTTTTGTACTGTGTTACCTTGTGTACCTTATGTACCTTACATTTCTTGCAGTACGTACGTCTCTGTTTAGGTACATTCACCTGAAATCAGAAATTGTATTTAAAAATGATAAAAATGCATCAAATTAGTTATTGGCATTAACAAAAAAACCATTATATATATGATTTCAATTATATGAATGTACATAAATTATGAATAATGCATTGTAATAATTAAGCAGTAAGGCTTTATATGTTTAATATGTCAAATATTTGAATCACAATGTAACAGGGAACGGATATTATTGTAATTACATATTTAAATCAGATAAAAAATGTGTAAGATTTAGATCATTTTAATTGAAATAAACTCATATTTAATATATTAATTAAAGTCATTTTTGTTTTGATTTGCTTTATTTAATCATCCAAGTATTGATAAACCGCTATTAATTATACCATCGATAAGTTCAATAATAATAGGCAATGATAGCCTGAAATATCCAGATTAGTAACTTTTGACAACAAGCAAATATTTGTACATTACCTAAATGGTATTAACGTACTTAGATGCCAATAAGTACATACCTATAACCTATGTCATGTTCAAGTAGAATATTACGTCTTAACTGTAGTTCAGATGGAATTGTATGGTAACTGTAATGTGTACATCAAATTTGTGGTGTTTTTATAAAAATTTGTTGGTACATAAAACAAACCACTGGAAACGTGAAATATGTCCTTGTCAAAAAACTCATACATTGTTGAAGAATCACAACATTTCGTTACATATTTGATGAAAACAAGTACAAATTAAATATGTATAACACCCATAAATTTGACGCACGTATTATTACTTTCATAAAATCTGATCCCTAATTATAATATTGAGAAATGAACCTGAAAAACAATATTATGTTCAGCTTTAGTATGTATATTATACTAGGGAAATCAATGAGATATCCCATTGTGGCACATTTCGATTTATTGTAACAGAATAATAGGTCAGTAAATATTAAATTCGACATGTTCAAAATCCTAATAGAAGTTATTTTGAAAGTCCGAAGTGCTCTAATTAATTCAAGAAACCGAGGGATGGATTTCTGAAATTCATGGTTTCGGATTATAACATATAGAAGAGACTTGAAAATACCACAAGACATACTTAAAACTTTAGAAATTATTCAAACTACTCATGTATCAGACACCATAAAGTAAACGAATAGTGCATTTTAATCATTGTACTTTAAGATCGAAACGGATAAAATTTTACTTACCATTATTCCAGTTTTTCGGTAGAGGTTTTATTAACACGACGAGTAAACTTCAAGAGAATGACGTTCGAAGAGAAGAACAACAAAACATGTCGAATGTATCAGTGATAACGACAATGAGCAGTCCAAAGACATTGTAAAAAAACGTATCATTATCCATTGCGGGGCTGCTACAGATTTCCCGATTTCGATAGCACCTAAACATCATCAAAATTAAATTTCGAGAGGTCAGTTATGCACTTATGCCAGTCTTAGAACAATAAATTTCTCGCATGAAATAAAAAATAAGAGTACCGTGTACTTAGTCCATTGTCGACTTGTACTATAATAATATAATGTAATAATTAATAAATAATAACTAATAATAATAACTTATTATTACTAATAAGCTAATAAGTAAGAAGTAATAATTACTAGTTATTTCCGACAGTAATTTAAAAGTTATAAGTTACTCTGAATCATAGTTATTTTTACCAAATTTCATAATTTCTTCAACACTACCACGATTAAAGATATCTTTAATTATGACACTACTGAAAATTAGGTTGTAAAATGTATGTTTACTCCACAGATATATAAAACAATTTATATTTTTTTAATTTTTTATTATTATTTTAAGTTTTATATATCTGTAGTTATAACACTAGGTATATATAATAATACAGTGTTATGTATTGATGATTCATATTTATATTTAATTTATTTTTACTGTTAAAAGTTGTTTTTTATACATAATTTATAGCTAAGCATAAACCATATTCGGACATAAAATTTAAAAAAAAAAATTTCTTATTAATTGAGTATCTGCATATAAAATTGCGTACCCGTCCCTATCCACTGTACGAGAATAAAATGCGTAGGTTGTAGACTCTACAATGTAGAGGAATATTATGGACTGTGATTATTGGTTATACTGTCACATAGATAGTGATAAAAATATAAAATGATAAGGTTATGATCAGTCGGTAATTTAATTTGAAATTGTCCGGTCTTTACTCTTTTCTTTGATTTTTGTAAAAAATGGACCAAAATCTATTAAATTTTTGGAAAAACTACGAGGACATAATCAATTGGGGCTATCGAATTTCTGGGGCTCGGGGATTGGATAGCGATAGTTCGTTGGCGACAATTAATATTGATACGAAGGTAAGTTCTTTTCGATATTTTGGGCATAAATTCCTGGCTGTTTTATCCGTGTCCAATATTGAATATTTTTACGTTTTTAATTCCGTGAGAAGTGTTGTAGTTCGTATGATCGAAATGTTGGTGTAAATGTAGCTTAGTTCCCCCTCGCCAATTTGATATTTTTATATCGAAACTGTAGGAACTCGACGATTTCTGAATGATGGTGCAATCATAATTTTTCGTTCGGACATTTTTGTTGAAGTTCTTTAACTTCCTAAGTATGCGATTTTACGTTTATAGGTATTCACGGAACATAACATTATTGCCATGTGAAGGACTTTGAGCTCGGTGACTGGAGTCAGCAGGCGAAGGAATCATTTTATATTACTTGAACTGACCAACAAGTCTGGTGACCGGAGCTGGCAGGTGAAGGCGCCATTTTAATATAATTATGTTATTTTAATAGGCAAGGTTACAATATACTCATTAACCTATTGTCTACCTGAAGATAATTGCAAAACAACTTAATATAGCTTATTCTATTATCATGAAGATACTATCGCAGTATTGCCGCAAAAAAAGGTTTTATTCTGGGTATTTGGCAAAATGTATGTTTTTAAAGCGATGTTGTATACTCGTATTTTAAAGTTAGAGCCATTACCTGAGCTTTTTAAATAAGCTGGGCGTTTGTATGATCCATCAGTTATTTTTGAAACATAAAATAATGCAAAAACAACTAAGTCCAATTCAGCTACTGATGACGAAGACAACATTGAATTGTTGTACATTTTTTACTTTATTACCGATATATTATGTTTTAATAAATATATCATTATTACATTTATAGTAAGTTTATTCTATAATTTTATTAATTCTGATTGCACCATCATTTTTAACATGTTAGAACACAAGTATCAAAAGAGTAAAAAGATATGAAAAACGTGGTAAATTATAGCGTATTGGGTATGCTGAAAAAACCCAAATTTGCTGAGTTCCAAAGGCAATAACTTTGAAACTAAGTTTGATCTACAAATTCTGATTGTACCACCATTCTTAACCCTATAAGATAAAAAAAATTCAAAATGGTGAGGGGGAACTAAACTGCATTTGTTCTTAAATATTTCATGTATTTTTTATAATAACTTATTGTATTTTATATCTATTTCCTAGGAAATTAATAAATGTACAACTTTTAGCACTGAAGAAAATGAGGATGATGTTGATGCTTGCTCTACCGATGGTAGCGTTGATATTGATTTAGAATATTTGAACTTTTCAAAAAAAACCTTGGAACATCAAGAAAAAATAGGTTAGTATATGTTCTATCTATTAATTTACTAATTAATGTGATATAATTAGTAATTTTAAAACATTAGTATACTATTTATTGAAGTATAATAAATGGATATGGTTCATTGTTTGTAGAATTAGAAAAGAGAAAAGTCGACAAAGAGTATGGATTATGCAATTCACCCGGTTTTGAAAATGGTAATGATCTGCTTATTGGATTTTTAGTATGAAATAATTAAACATTTTTTATACATTATTCAACTTATGCGTTTAAGCGTTTTATAAATTTAAACATAATTCAATTCATGGGTTTAATATTATTAACAATTAAAACGTTATGAACAATTTAGCTTTTTATGTTTAAACGTTATTCACATTTCACTTGAATTTATAATCTGCTGGTAAGTCTCATAACTCATAAGTGACACAATCATTTGTACAATAATAAAATGCACATACCATGAAAATATATTTTTTTGTCAAATGACAACTCGTATGGTGTATTACCAATGTGTCGTTGGTGTTGACTGAAAGTATTTTTGATGAGACACACTATACAAGTTAAGCACCAACATTGAACAGTGTTATTTATACTTTCTAAGAAGGTCTATTTATAAATCATAATTGGTGATGTGTATTTTGTGTTTGAAATATTTATTGCCATTTTAAACTTTCTATTACATTTATTTTATTTTGATTAGGTACCTAGTAATTTAAATTACAATTCGAAAACAACTAAATATATTATACTGATAGTTATAATTTTTTTTCTGCTAATGTTATGTTTTAATCATCAATAATTTCTACTAGTTCTTATGTTATTCTATATTAATTAAAATTGTTTATCGTTTGTTTATCGTTTAGTGTTATGTTAACCGTTATCAATTTTAATTGGTTAACGTTTTACTCGTAACATTATAAAAAGGTTTTGAAATCCTGGGTAATGTTTTATTAATTTTGATTGAGTTTTTCGTGTTAATAAATATATGCATTCAAGTTAAAATAGTTTTCATAAAAATTAAGTGTAATTTTAAATTCATAGTCTACCGTGATGGTATAAACCTTGATCTATGTTGACACTTTAAAACAATTATTTTGGGTATTATATCTTATGTAATACAATATTTCTAATTTGTGCATTTGTTATTAATGAAAGTCTAGAATTATAAATTGCTTTTGGGTTGCCACGGTTGAGATTATTCACTATTATATTCTTTGGTTAGATTATTCTAATTATTCTACATTTTTTTAAAATTAAAATTAAGTCATTTGGCTATTTGTGTTACAGAATCTACCAGTGTAACTGAGGTAAATGAGATTAATCCAATTGAACTCTATGGTTCAAAAGTAAATGAGATTAAATGTCTTGAAAATAAACTGCAGTTTGAATTTGATAAATTTTGTTCTATGAAGAAACCAGTATTATGGCCTGGTATGGCATTTAACTGGGATGTACCAGGTAGCTATGATAACTAATTTATTCTGTATACCTAAATACAATTATTTGCTCATAATAATTATTGACTTACTATGAGTTGGGATGTGATATTGTCATATTGAAAGATAAGTATTAATACTTTTACTTGGTATAGAATTGAATTAAAATATATAAAGAGAGTATCAATATTTGATCTTATGAATACCAAATTTTATTTAAAAGTTGATGACACTCCCAAATGATGGTGTACCATAATTTTTATTTTTGCTTATAAAATAAAATGTATCAGTTTTAAATACAATAATTCCTTAAAAAGTTCTTCTTAATACATAAGTACATAGATAAGTATAATATGCATAAGTACATAAACTGCATGTGGCCAAGACATAATTCAGATATTTAGAAAAATATAAAAAAATTAATGAACATCAAATATTTGTGGAGATGTTTTTAACATTAATCTTTGTAATACATTGTCATTGTTAGTCCCAAATCATATTTGTCACTCAATGTTTTACTACTATTAACTTATATTAGATAGAAGTTGGAATTTTTGTTTGTATTGTGAATAGTTCTATGATTTTATAATTCAACTAGTTTTTTATATTTTATGTTTCTTGTTCTTAATTAACAAAATACACAATATTTGTGCTAATTTTTTGGTTATTATTATTTTTTATTTAACTTAATAAATAATAATGAATAGTAATAAATGCAGAATAGTCATCATCACATTTATTATGGTGGTAATATAATTTGTATTTTTGATTCAAAATCATACATTGTATTTGGTTAATGTGCTTCTCTGTGTAAAAATTAGCCTGTTTGGTTAATATTTTCTCAGAGACTTAAATCTATGTTAATTTTTAACAAATGTACCTTACTCACACCACATAAACTAAAGTAGATCACATTATCATAACACTATAGATATTGATAATTTAATTTGGTAAAAGGTTTAAATGCGGGTATTTTGCAAACATTTTGTCTACAATAACTTCACCAATTGGTAGTGATGATGTTGCCGAAGGTGATGGAGCACTTCGGCAATGCATTATTCTATACTTCACTAAATCTGAAGGATCATTTGAGGCTATGTCTAGCACTAAATCCTCTGCCATTGTTCCATCTGCCCACAGTGGTTGAGCACGAACACCCGTAGGACCTCTATTCATTTGTGTAACAGGCGCATCAAATAAATAAAATTATGTTGATATATATTTTTTTTAATTTTACCTTTTAATATCATTTTGTTTGATGGCTGGAATATAATTTTGTATTTCTTTTAGCTGCTTGGCAGGAAATAAAGACTTGATAGTTTCATTTATGCCAAATTTCATATGTTTTGCCATTAGTTTTTGTACACCATCTAGTTTTAAAAGCCTTATTGTATTAGAAATACTAACATCATTCCAGCTAAAGACATGAATAATACATTAACATCTCTAGTATATTAATTAATTTTTATTTATCTGTATTAAAAACCTGTATCCTTCTTGTTTTAGAGCCAGAACTGCATTTGGACCCAAAAAAACCGAACCATCCATTCTTGGTGTAAAATGAACACCAAGAAATGGTAAACTGGGATCAGGCACCTATGAAGAGATAAATATATCTAATAATAAATTTATATCATGATGTATAGTGTACAAATTGTATTATAAAATTAATCATTACTGGATATATATTGCCTTTAACAAGATGTGCTTTTTCTTTGCCAAGTAAAAGATATTCACCTCGTATGGGTAATATGTATGGATCAGCTTTACATCCAGTCATCAATGATAATTTATCAGATTGTAGTCCACCACACGTAACAACATAATCTGCTAATACTTCGTTCTGTAATTTTTTTAATAATTTAAATTTTATGAATTAGAAATTATTTTTTATAAACCGCATAAACATGGCGTGTTGTGTTGGTTACATTTTCGGGCAATTACCCATCCAATAAAGTGTCAGATAGTTCTTAACACGTGCCACGCCATGTCTCTTTCAATTTTTTAGGAGTATTACTATACAATAAAAGTACATTTTTTTCAGAAATTATTTTAAGTGCTCTGTTATGTTTACATTCTTCAAATGATTTCACTTTAAAATTGTAAATTATTTGACCACCCAAATTTGCGAAGTCTGTTGCATAATGTTTTGTCACTACTGCCCAATCCACAATTCCTGTATGTGGTGAATGAATTGCTCGTACACCCTATAAACATCCGAGTGTAAAAATATTAATCTAAGCTTTATTGTGTCTTATATTGACTTACATTACAATATGGTTCAATGGTCTTGATATCATTTCCATTTATCAACTTTATATCAGGAGTACCATTTTCTAATCCTCGCTCATACAAGTCATTTAAACTTTTTATTTGGGATTCTTCAGTGGCAACAATGAGTTTTCCACATTTTTTATGTGGTATATTATTTTTGGCACAATATTCATAAGTTTTATAGAGGCCTTCAATGCACATTTTTGCTCTCATCGAGCCTGGTTTGTAATATATGCCCGCATGTATAACTCCGCTGTTGTGTCCGCTTTGATGAACTGAAGGCTGATTTTCTTTTTCTACAAGACCTACACGTAGATGCTTATTGCGTGATAATAATGCTCGTGCAGTTGCAAATCCAACAATACCTCCTCCCACAACTAATACATCGTAACTATTCTTCTGACCTTTGCTATAAAAACGAGCGTATGAACTTGAAAATAAGTTAACAATTTCCATTTTCATTGTAGTTATTTGGACTGGTTTCATTTTGGTTAAGGTATAACAGTTGTTTTCTAAACAAAGAAGTAAGACAAGAATTATTTTAACTCTTAAAATTGTATGTTATTATTCAATTATTGTTAATGTTTTAATTTAAGACCTCATATATTCTAATGATATTAAAAATGTTTTCATGTACATAACAAAAACACATTTTAACTTTGAATTACAAAATAATAACTCAAATTAATGAAGAACAGTAATTACAAATTATTTTTTATCTTTTCTTAATTTTTATACCCATGGTCTTAGAAAGATTAATAATATGTACATAGTATTATAGTTTTTATAATCATTGTTCACACTTAATTATATTGATATTGTTTTAATCTTTGTTATTGCACGATTTCAAACAAACACTTGAAAAATAGTACAAAAATTAATAATTTCAAGTTTTAAATTGTGGGAATATCTTTTTTTAAAGGACAAAAGAATAATAAACTAATAATACGGTAACTATAAGGAAATGCTGCCATTTTTACATCTTGTATAAAATAATAAAAATGATCTCTATAGCAAGTCCACTTTTGTCTATTCATAGTATATTATCTTAAATTGAGATTTAAAAAAATTCAGCTCGACATGGTTAAAATGATGACAGGACAATGTTTCTATTGTTCTTACATTATATAGGTAGATTAATAAATACAAATCTAAACCAAAAACCGGTAAAAAAGGTATACTTATCTATGTCAAAAACCATTCTGAATTCACTATAGTATCATTAAAACTACCCTTTATCTAGTATAATACAATTATGTTTACTATATCATTAGTTTACTTAAGTCCATTTCACGTCAGAGAATATTGAAGCAAAAAGTTATTAATTACTTGTTCTGTGAATATACAAATCTTACTAGATAAATATATTCGAAGTTTGAACGTTTCTTTTGTGACTGCTGTTTGTTGAATAAATTATTAGTCTAATTAAGGGACTCGTCTTTTATATTTTGTACTTATTAATTCTTCGTAGTAAAATCAGAAAATAATTATTAAAGAGTAAAGTGCTAACTAGTGAAGGCTAAACTACTCCCCAAGTTCTAAGTCCCATCTTAACCTACTCCATCCGTTTTTAGGAGTCAAATATGAGACAACGATAATAGATTATAATTAAACATATACGTAACTACTATATAACTAGTCTCGTAAATCACAAGCACAACAGCTGAACAGCTGTAAAAAAAAAAAAATGTACAATATAGATAAATAATAAATAAATAATAATATTATCTAATATCTATACATTTCAAAATAGTCCTGCCCATACATATTATATAAAAATGCCAAGCCCGGTTATCTCTATTTTTTTATCATCGAATGTCCGTGACCCACAGATATCTATACTATACTAGATAGCGAACTCCCGTTATCAGGTGAAGCTCACCGTCGATGTAGACGCCATTTTTTCGGGGGTCAAAATATTTCTGCATTAACCTAGATACAATACAAACATGTCATGACAAACATGTGGAATTCGATTTTAAAATGTACTCCTAATTAATACTTAAATATGCCTCATTCGTGTGTTGCGTATGGCTGTCAAAATAGGGCTTCAGCTGGACAGTCAACACATTTTTTCCGGTAAGTAACCTACCTATTTAAAACAAAATTAGCAATTAAAAAATACCAGTAATTAGTATTATATTCATATTATATTACAACCATAACTTTACTGTATTTTGTTTAAATTATTATTTATTATAAATTAGATTTCCTCATTCCAATGAGGAGTTGATGAAGAAGTGGATTGAAGCTATAAAAAGAAAAAATTTCAAACCATCACAGCACAGTAGAATTTGCAGTGATCATTTTACTAATGAAGACTTTCAAATACGCCCAGGTGCAAGTAGACCATTATTAAGATTGGATGCTACTCCATCAGTGTTTCCATCATTCCCGCCATACTACCAAAAAGTTAAAAAACACAGAATAAATCCTCTGACAAAAATTCCTAGACCAGTCAATAATGATACTACACCAGTTATTGATGGTATTAAAACTGTTTTAAATTTTATCATTATTTTTTTTTTTTTTATTAGGTATTAATAATTTTTTTAGATAATGGTCCTGAACCAGATGATATTTTAATTAATGAGACACAGTCTACAAAAGATGTAGAAGTACAAACTATAAATAGTTTTACCCATGAAACCAAGTTAAAAAATAAAATAAAAATTTTACAACAAAAGCTTAGGAGGAAAGAAAAAACAATTAATAATTTAAAAGATCTCTTAGATGATTTACGCAATAAAGGTTTAATTGATGGTGAACATGGAAGATTAATTGAAAATCATTTTAGTGGTAAGAATTTTTAATCATAAATAAACGTTTTGCTGTTTTTATAATGCTTTAATGCTTTATTCTTGCTATTGGAATGCTTTCTCTGCCAGGGTCTATATTAGAATTATTTAATAATGAGCTTAAAAATAGTAATAAAGGAACTGGTTGTCGCTATTCCAATGAGATGAAACAATTTGCTTTGACGCTCCACTATTATTCTCCTAAAGCTTATAATTTTTGCCGGTAATTAAACACTATTATCAGTTATTTGTGTGAAATTTTCTTTTTTTAAATTTATTTGATGTGTTATGTTTTTATGTTATATTTATATTATGTATTCAAATATATCACTAATAAAAATATATTACTGCTACCTATTACAGAACTATATTAAGCCTACCACATCCATCGTCCATTAGCAACTGGACTTCTTCTGTCAATGCTAATCCAGGTTTCTTCAATGAAGTATTTGAATATATGAAATGCATTCCACACAGTGACAAGGATTGCAATTTAGTTTTTGATTCAATGTGTATAAGAAAAAAAATCTTGTATGATGCTAGTGAAGATAAATTTCTGGGTTATTGTGATTTTGGAGGAATTCAAGCTGAAGCACAGGAGACCCCAGCTACAGAAGCATTAGTTTTTATGTTAGTTGGATTAAATGGAAAGTGGAAACATCCAATTGGCTACTTTTTACAATCTAAAAGTACTGCAGTAATACAGGCTGGTCTTGTTACAACCGCAATTACAATGGCAAATAATGTTGGTGTTCGAGTTTGGGGTGTAACATGTGATGGCACTAGTACTAACTTATCCACTATGACACATCTCGGATGTAAACTTCATGAATCATATGATGAGTTAGTAGAATATTTTTATATTCCTGGCATAGATCGGAAGGTAAAAACTATCTATAATAAAAATGAACACTGTATAATTTATTTATTTTTATTTTATTTAGATTTATTATATACCAGATGCATGCCACAATATTAAATTAGCAAGAAATGCCCTTGGTACTTACCGAAAATTTAAAAGTGTTGATGGCATAATTGATTGGACATTTATCCAAGATCTTAATAAAGGTATATTAAAAGATTAGATTTGCTTCATTTCACAAATATCTAATTATATAAAATTTAATATAATAATGATTCTGTGCTTCATTGATATAGCCCAAGAGAACATAGGGTTGCACTTGGCTAATAAATTGACATCTGCTCATATTGATTGGAGGAAAAACATTATGAAGGTGAAAATGGCCGCACAGACCTTAAGCTCGTCGACTGCTGATGCTATACAATTCCTTAGATCGTTAGAAGAATCTACATTTAAGAACAGTAAGTTGCAGTTTAATTATAATCAGTAATTCAGTATAAGTACAGTTATTTTAATTTACTATAGGTGAAGCTACAGAACGGTTTATAAGGGTAATTGATAGAATATTTGACTTTCTTAATACCCGTAACCCCTTTGGTAAAGGATTTAAAAAACCATTGTACAGAAACAACATTAAAGAAGTGGAAAATATGATAAAACCATTGGTAGATTATTTGTTGAGTCTAACAGATATTAAAGGAATTCCAATTCATTCAACTCCTAGGAAAACATTTGTGATTGGTCAGTGATTATATTTGTTGGAATTTTAACGTAGCATGTATTATTTTGTATATTTATATCATTATACTCATTATTATATTTATATTTGTAGGTTTTGCTGTAGCTGTCAAATCAATATTAAACTTGGCTAAGGAACTTTTTATTGTTACTGATTATAAATATCTTTTAACTTACAAATTTTCTCAAGACCACTTAGAAATATTTTTTTCTAAAATAAGGCAAAGATTTGGTCACAATAATAACCCTAATGTTCTGGAATTTCGAACAGCTATGAAACAATTGTGTTTAAAGAATTTAATAACTTCATCTTATGCAGCAAACTGTGTTGCATTAGATAATTCATGTTATGACAGCATTTTTGAAATACGTTGGAAAAAAAGAAAATCTGAAGAAATTATTGAAGATGATGATGAAAAAATACCAGACTTCCTTTCTTTTGAAAATGATAGTGTTAACATAAATATTCTTAAAGATAATATTTTATACTATATTAGTGGATTTATAGTAAGAACCATTTTTAAGAAAATAGAATGCCCTACGTGTACTGAAAGTTTACTAGAAAGAAAAACTACTATAGATCATAATTATAGTCATACAAATTCTTATTCGGCTCTAGTTAATATTAAAAATAGGGGAGGACTAGTACGGAGTTCAACTGATGTATTAAAAATCGTGAAATTTGTTGAAAATACTCTTATTCAACTCACAGATAATTTTAAACATCTAAAATTGGGTTCATATTCTAAAATTGTTATTCATACTAAGAACTATGTTTACAGTAATAATGTATTTAAAAATTTAAGTTGTTTGGATGATTGTTTTCTAGAAAACCATAAATTACATTTAGTATCTTTAATTTGTAAGGAATATCTCAAAATACGTCTGCACTATATTGCTAAATCTAAAGATAAACAAGTTAGCAAACGACGTGTCTTAACTAAGCTGATTTTATTTAATAACCAATAAATAATTATGTTTAAACTTTATTAATAATATTTCTTTGTTTCATATTCATAATTCTATTGTACCTATTTACTTTGTATTGACATTTTTATATTTGTATTCTACAGTCATATTATAATATATTAAATTAAAAATATATATCTCCTTATACCTGAATTATAAATTTGAATAATCATTATTCTTTGAAATTAATTGAGTATGATATGAATTGATTTGTATATTATGAAGTTAACTATTGTATTATATTATTATTGTTAATTAACTGATATATAATTATATAAAGTAATTAAAAATATATCTGTGTATGTAACTGATGTTACACGGTTTATTTCACGAGACTACACTATACCATTCAAGTTATTTAATAAGTCCCAAATAGTTGCTATAATATGCATTTATCAATCTATATATGTAAGATGTATTATTTATATAGTTATGGTTTGAAATTGAATGCGTGTTTAAATTTAAATCTTTTAATACTTCATGAACATTAATTTAACTTGTATCTTTTTCATACATTCAAATCATTGTTTTGACCCCCGAAAACATGGCGGATGCGTGATAAGAGCGCACCGCCGAGCTTCTCTATTGTCAATGTAAAACTAGTCTAGTACCATATCTAGTTAGTATAGATATCTGTGCCGTGACCGCACTCCGATAGACAACAGTGTGACAAACGTTAATCAACTGTGCGGTTCTGAGTGAAAAATCTGCGTTTTGTCAAACACTTATAATAATATTAATATAATAATATCAAATAATAAACATACTTAAAAACATTAAAAACTTTCCGTTATCGTTTTTTTTTACCTTTGTTTTTTTCCCTTTTTTTGTTTCCCTTTTGATTGACGAATCGTTCCGAATTGAACGAACTCGGACGCAAGGTAGATTAATTTTGTCTTGCGTGTTTTTGGTATAAATCGCCGAGTCTGCGGCCGACACTGTACGCGGCGTCGACTTGCGGTCGCTCGCCGCCAGAGTTCATTAGCGTCGTGTAAACAAAAGTCGCGTTTTCCTCCGGCTAACACAACAACAATAATACACCGAGACGTATCAACTAACACATTAACACAACGTCGACCACTTAGTTTTTGTCTAGCGTGTGTGTCGTCCTGTCGTGTGTTTGTACTCCGTGCCGTGGATACATGCAATATATAGAAAATAATGTTGTAAAGCACCACTGCGGTGTATCACAGTGTTTTTTTTTTAATAAATAATTATATAGGTACCTCCTCTAATTTTTCTCGCGTAATCGTCTGGTCGTTAGGAGGATTTTCCGCGATGTGAGCTATTTTGATCGCTGATCGACACGACGACGACGATCATATTTACGTTCCCGGGCTCAAAAACAGTCGAGATAAACTCTCCAGTCTCCTTCGTCTGCTATAATACGTCTAACCTCCGCGATGGAAGACGAACTGCACTGCATCGCCTGCAAGCAGCTGTTCAACAACCCGGTACTGTTGCCGTGCTACCATGCTTTGTGCCTGAACTGTGCGGTACACGCTCAGCGACCGCTGGAGCCGACCGCTCCGCAAGAGAACAGTGGTAACTCGACGACTAGCGGCAGCAGCACGGCCGAGTCACATGCGTCTGACTGCCATCCAGAGTCGGACAAGCTGTCCATACTCAGCGAGACGGACAGCGGCGTCGTATGCAACAGTCGGCCCAACAGCTACCTGGGCACGTCCAACCACGTCGGTGGAGGCATCATTGCATTCCCGCCGGTTATGGCCGGCTCGTATTCGCTGTCGTGTCCGGCCTGCAGGAAGACCGTGTACTTTGACGACAACGGCGCGCACAACCTACCTAAGTACAGGACAATGAGGAACATTGTGGACCGTTATGGCGAGCTCAGACACATCGTCCCCAAGTGCCAGCTGTGCGAGAGCGAACCGGCAGCTGACGCCACTGTGCTGTGTGAGCAGTGTGAGGTGCTGTACTGTGACTCGTGCCGCGACAACTGCCATCCGTCTAGGGGCCCGTTGGCCAAGCACAACCTGCTGGAGCCGACAGTTGGTAAGGTGGCCCTCAGGAACAAGATCAGAAACAGGGACATCATTTGCCATGAACACGAAGAAGAGTGCCTGTCCATGTACTGTATGGTTTGCAAGACACCAGTATGTGCCGTGTGTATGCACGAATCGAGGCATTCAAGTCATGACGTCCAAGCTATCAACACTATGTGCAAAGCTCAAAAGGTAAAATTACCAATAGTCATTTTTTAATAGTAAGAGGTTACTTTATAGGTACCTACACAGTAAATAACATGCTTATCATTAATAAATAAGTCAACACCTGTCAAGTAACAAAATATAGGTATCTACTAAAATAAGTATCTAAAATAGTTTCTATCAAGGTATCTGATTTATATTAAATGTTAACAGTGTGATTTTATTTTTTAGGTTGTTGCTATTAATAAAGCACCCCCTTCAAATCCAAGAGTTTAGATTGTAAATTTGATTTGTAAATTCACAAGTCTTGTTGTTCACTGTTATGTGCACTTTTTATATTTAAATACATTCTACCAATAGGTTGTCGGGTCACTTAGTGACAAAAAAGTTGAAAACACAAATTAATAGGGTATAGATAATTATTGAAATTAAAAGTTTAATTTACCTACCAAATTGTTCTATTATTAATATTATTAAACAGTGAAGACCTTGTACTTCCAAACCTACTCAAATACAGCCAATGAGATAATTACTACCTAATTAGTTTTGTAATGAATATGTGACATTACATTACATTACATTACATTAAATTACAGTAACTTAACACCCATTTGTTTTGCTCAACCATAATATCTTTTGTAAATCTTAAGAGTAGGTAGGTATCTCCCTGTGTAAAATAGTATAATACAATGAGATAGTTTGGTAAGCTACAGTGGTAACTTAAGTCAGTTACTACCCTTTACCATAGATTTTATAGAATGGATAGGCTGTTTGTGATAATCATACAAATAAATATAGAGGTCCTGTCACAAATATGTTTATGTATAATTATATATATATATATATTATATTATGATAAGACTTCTGCCAGAATGAGATGCAATGATAAAAATGTCTTTCTTTCTTCCCCATTCTGGCATGCTTTCCTCTGTTATGGTGTATCAATCATATCCACCACTTTTATTTTTATTTATAAGCAAAATTATTTGTTTTTTAGTGAAAATTAAAATACTTGCCTAGAACTTGAATTTATAGTTTATTGACTTAAGTCTATATTGAAATAACAACATAAAATGTTTTAAATATAATATAACATTTTTTAATATAATAATATTTTACAACTTGATATTCATTCAAAATTTTTTTTATTGAATTAATGGTTACAGTTTCTCGTTTATGCTAATCATTTTATAAGTATCCACCTAAACAAATTTTAAAGTAACAATTACATTTTTTAGCAGTCATAGTTTGACAGTTTTTTTTCCGAAAATCTGCTATGATAGATTGGAAAAGTAGGATAAGGTTCATTTTACATGATTCATCATGCTTATGTATGTAGAACTCGAGTATCGTTTCGAATATTAATTATATAAATATGATTAATAATATTAAAACTTATATAGGTACTAATTAAGATTAATATAATAGATCGTATTTTTGTTGTTAAGTGTGAAACTGTAGTGTTATACACCTATTTCATGAAGAAATTCGTTCGACTAAATCGATCATATAATATGTTAATTATATATTATAGGTAAACTATATTGTTCAAGTTCCTTCGTTATATGTGTAGGCTGTAGGATAAATAAACATTATTAGCGTTTATATAAAAATTAAACACACCCGTGCGCTACTGCTTTTTTAAATTAGGATAATCAGGTCGAGTTAAGTCACGATTTAAATACGAGTGAAGAAAATTTACACAATGACTGATTAAATTAAAAACGTAAAAAATAGAAAGAATCGAAATGTGAACAGATACCTGATACGTACTTTTAAATGTCTTATTTTTAAGCAGGGGAGAATGTTTTGACCTCGGCTTCGACATATTTTTATACATAGTATAATAAGCAATATTATTATACATTTTAATGTACTTATGTGTTTTGTTTGTACCTGTGAGGCTAATAAGTAATAACTAATAAGTTATAATTATAGTTTAATAATAACGTTAAGACGTATTATAGTCTATTATAATATGACGATTGGCAGTCGATGGATTTGGCCTTTTAGCCTTTGGGTATTGTTTTTATGATTGAATTTAATCGTTATGATAGTGCCCAATTCATGTAGGCTTTTTATGGTAAGGTTCACATCATTAGTAGGAATTCTAGTATTTTAAAAATGTTTCCAAAAATAAATTATAACTCACATAGACTGTAGTAGAAACAATGTAATTTTTTCGGAATAGGTATATATTAATTGCGTTTAAAGTCTATTAGAGATTTTATTACCTATGTTTGATTTTTTTTTATTAAAACGAGTAAATGTACCTATATATTTAGAAGTGTATACACGCGTGTTGCTTGAACTAGGTAGACATTTAATTTGTTTTGAAACTATTTCTACATATTCTTTTATTATTAAAACTTTCTGGGTCTGAGTTATAACTTGTCTTCTGTTAGCAAAAGTTAATAAAAGTTTAGAACTTTTAAATTGAATTTTAATTTTTCTTTAAATTTTTGTATGACTAATTGAATGGTATACCTACTTATCACATTTATAATTAAATTATTGGTCGATACAAATTATTTTAATAACTTTATTTTACTAAACTTAGTTCATTATAGGATGTTTCGGGACGTAACATCCGCGAGCATATAAAGAGTTATAATATATGAATTCGAAATGATGAACCTTTAAGTTCTATTAATTTATTTTTAAATAAATCTTGCTCGGGCCCAGCTTGAATTATCCTGTACAAATTTTTAAATATTTAAATTTGCTCTAGTATTAACTTATATTAAACTTTAGTAAGAATATGGCATGTATATTGCTGTATTAAGCATGTGTAAAAACAGATAACACCTGCGGGTGGTGCATTGTAGCGTCATTTTAATGTAATATATCATTAAATAGGCACCTATTTACTAGGTATGTTGAACATTTTGGTTTTGAGATTTATGGATGTATTAAAAAACGTCCATGTTTTTCGAGTGGCTGCACAGTGTCTTCATTATTATTTTACAAGTGTATTTTCGCTCCTAGTGATATCAATTATTCAAGTCAATAACGCAGGGGAAGAAAAATTTACTCCGTCAAACTTAATGGGTCTTGATGGGTATATTTTACGAGTAGCTATACCTATAGTCAACCGGAAGCATGGGGGAGATTGAAGGTGGGCGGAAAAGCAATATTCGCGTAAAGCCTGAGTCCCCTAGAGGATATTTGATTTCATTTTCAATATTATCTCCCGACAAAAGTTAAACACTGTGGAGGCGAACGAACTCATGTTGTTAGTCGGAAGTCATTTCTCTGACATTTACTTTAAACTTTGGGCATTGTTTATAAGAATTCAGATCAATATTGAAATGAGTTGTATTATGACCATGCGTAAAACTATAAAAGATATAAAACTTTGGAAATTTTTGCTTATTCCATGCGCTATTGTTTCTTATTGTGTTTCCATAGTTAAAATTATTTGCGTATTAGATAGGTATCATAGTAATTAATAATACTGTAGAATTCAATATTAGTTGTATTTAAATCTCCATTGTTATTTCTTATTTGTTAAAATATCAATAGTAATATAATGTTAATTAAAAAATATTTTATATGTATAGGCTTATATTTATAGATACACATTTATTTATTTTTGGTTTATTTGAGTTCAAATGGAAAAAAAATATTTTTTTATTTACAAAAATGCCAGTTTAAATTATAATATTTGATGTTGGGAATCCTGAACTAAATTGTTGAGCTTTGTAATTGTAACATGCGTGGGCAATAAACGCGTTTTTATGTCTATAGTCTATACTCTAGTTTGTTGTGCGCAAGTTGAACCCCAAAGAAGTTTTCTATTACAAACTTTTGTAGTTTTTTTGGGAACTTTTCGCTTGCATTATGGCGCATTTTGTAAAAACTTGACGTCCTTGGTAAAAATTTGAAGTCTCATATTGCATTTATCCTCGTGTGTTTCGTACATCGTACTGATTTATTTTTGAATTCTGTATTTTAAAAGTACTTATGTACTGCTTGTCTACCTACATTAACTCATCAATTTTTAAAATGTTTAGATATAGTTGAAAGTGCGTGCTTATATTATAAAAAAGATTTCATTGAAAATATTATTAAAGTTGCATTTTCGACGAGTGATAATTTTGTATACATTTCTTGTACCTAATTGAAATTGCAAATTAAAATTAATATACTTAGGTATTACAATAGTACTATGCGTATTTATAAGTTTTTTTATGTGCTACTACTGAGTAATTTGTATGTGTCCTACAATTTATTTTAGTTAATTGTTTTCATAATATATTTACTATTTAGCTAGGTATATATAAGTTTTACAGAACGTTAAATAAATTTTATACATAGGGTATGGGCGTTAAAGTTTGAACGAAATGTCGTCCTTTTCACGTAGTAGAACAATAAGCCGAATCTGTGAGGGACTGAATTAAATTTCATTAATTTGAAAAGGACTTGTACGAGGCTTGTTAAGTTATACAAAGCACAAAATATGTACGAACCGATGCGGCTTGTACACCGAAGAAGTTAATATTGACGAATAATTAATAAGGGTTTATTGACGAGAAAGTTTTCTTCGATTTTGGAAATAGGTCACTGAACATTGTAGTATAATATTATAGTGGTTGAATGACTATTTGAAATAAAATACCTCTACATAATTGGCTTTTAGATTTTTGTGCATTGACAATAATTTATATATATAGTACAGCATATTCGTATTATTATTATAATAGGATGCATGTGTTCTTACTTTCTTAGTTTTTTGGTTATTTACATCGCATAGTCGCATATAACACCAGCTATATAATGTACATTGTTTCACCTCTAATCTAAAATGTACGTCTCGTGCACGTGTACGCCCCTATGTTGTGTATTACATTATTGTGCTAAATAACAATGATATAATAACGATAACAAAGCCTCATTTTAATCTTTTCTGCCCAGAAGTAAACGAAGTCGTATAACTTCGTATTTATTAAAGCCCATAATATCGGATGTATTGTATTGCTTTACATAATGATGGAATTTAAAGAATAGGTTATAAATATTATTAT